GGGCTGATGGCAATATGCCCAATGTGGGTTCAGGATGATAAGGAACTCGATGGACATTAAAAAAAAAGATTAGATATACGAAAAAAGCGAGATAAACAACATTACCAAATATAATAATATAGAATATAATATGATGCTTAGTAGCTCATCATGTTTCGGATTTGAGATCATGGATGGAGGGATGAGACAACCGGAATGGGGAGGGAGAAGCTCAAAACATGAACGCCATTGAAGTCTGCTCTCCGACATGTCAACTAGCGGATCCAAACAAATCATCACCATTATACACGTTAGCTAGAGGTGTAAAGCACCTCAGCTACTGTGCCGCAATACATAAAAGAAAGGGAAAATAATTACAACAGTTGCATGCCAGCTGAACTACCAGCAACGGATGGGCATCGTTCTGGAAAGCTACCAGCCAAGTACTAGGCAACAAGAAAAATTATTATGTAAAATTATATATTACGCTAGGAAATTACGTCGTGGTTGGAGGCGGAGGCTAAAAGGGATGGGGAGGGACAAAGAAACTAACAGAACGAACGCCACTGAGGTCGGCTCCTAGTCATTTCAGCGTGTATCTAGCCAAACGTGTTCATCGTCTTTCGCACCCCAACCAGGGAGCCGCAAAGCCCCAACCGAGGTCAGCATCGAAGTAAGGGCCTTCATTTCTCTCGACCAAGTCACCGCTTGGCTACCCCTCCGCCTCTTCCATCCACACCCTCGGTGCGCAAACAACGCAGTCACAGGAGCCAGCGGGCTGGCATGCGCAACACGTGGCCAAGTCATCGGAGCCTGGTGCGTGAGTTGACGGTGCTGAGCGATTCAGTTCCTTTTCCTATGCCCTAAACAAGGCGTCGAACACGCTCGTTGCTCACGCGGTGTTCCCACCAGATGTGAGCCAAACAGCGAAAGCACCGATGGTCGAACATAACTAGCCTTTTTATGTCCGCTGATCAAAGGGGCCAGACTTCACAACCGTACAGTAGGATCGAACATACCGCTGCATTGTGCGCTCTACCTTTCAGGGAGAGAGTGATGTCATGTCGTGCTAAAGGTGGTGAAGACTAGCAAAAGCACTTCGAGCTTTTGATATATAGTTCGTGATCTCATCTTTTACCCAACAGGCGCTGATACAACTTCCCAGGTAGTTGAACTTCTGAACGACTTCTAGCTGATCCTCACCAAGCGTAAGCGCAGGAGGCGATTCCTGTCAATCTTGGAGGAAAGCTTTGCACTTTGATGATGCAAAGCAAGGTCCGAAGTGACTGGTAGCCAGTGCCAATCTGCCAGTGCCGCTTGGCACGTTTGTGAACTGTCACAGATGAGGGCAATGTCGTCTGCATACTCCAAGTCAAGAAGTCATTCTCATGGGAGTAGCTCCACAACTTTCAAGTCGTGTCCTGTAAACGCAACCTCCATGACTTTTTCGATGGTGAAGTTGAAGAGGAAAGGTAACAACTGGCATGCTTGTCTCACACCGCTGGAGATATTGTAAGGCGGTGACAGCTGGCCGTAAGCCCTCATTCTAATCGAGGAACGCGCGTATAATGCTCGGATAACATTTGCATATTTCTTGGGCACACCTTTCCTGAGTAGAGAGTTCCAAAGGGCACATCGATTAACCGAATCGAAAGCCCCTTTGATGTCGAAGAACCCGACGACGGTGGGCCGCCAAACAATCCCAATCCAGCAGTCGGAAGACATCGATCAAGGCCAAGTTCGAGGTGAGGGTTTTCATTCCCACTGACCAAAATAGCGCCCGGTCACCACTACTCATCTCCCACCCACACTCGCGGCGCGCAAACATTCGTCGCGTGGACCGATTTGCTGACATGCGCAACACGTGGCCCAGCCATCGGGAGCCATCTGAAGCATAATACGATGGAGCTGAATGGTTCACTCGTTCTTACTACACTAAAGGTACTATGCGGAGGACGCTCATCGCTCACGCAGAGATAAACTGTGAAAGAAGCGATTGTCGAATGTAACTGGCCCCTTTATATGTTTATGGATTTGATAGGACAAGTTAGCAACCATACAGGAGTGGTGAACGCACGGGTGCGTTGGAAACTCTACCTTACAGAGTGAAAGCGAGGTTGCGCCAGCACCACAAATGGCAATTACCGAAAGCGCCTCGAGCTTCAGCTATATGGTTCGTGATCCCATATATGCCACAAGCGCTAACATACCCAAGTAGATATTTGAATTCCTCGGGGACTTTTAGCTGATCTCCAGCAAGAGTCAGCGCAGGGATAGATCCCTGGCAATCTTGGAAAAGGACTTTGTACTTCGAAGGTGCAAAGCATCACTCGGAAGGACTGGTAGCCAGTGCTACCTGGTACGTTTGGGAACTGCCACAGATATGTACAAGACGTCGGTGTAAACCAAGTCCACAAGTCCATTACCTTGGGACAACTTCACACACTGCAGTCAGCGTAAACGCAGTTTCAATGACTTCGTCAATGGCGAAGTTAAAAAGGAAAGGTGACAGAGAGCAATCTTGTGTCACACCACTGGAGATATTGGATGGCGGCGACAGTTTGTCATAAGCTCTCACTATGCCCTGACTATCCACACGCAGCGTCTTTATGACTGACATATTTATCCGGAAACCACTTTCCTGAGCAAAAAGACTAAAGGACACACTGATCCATCAAATAAAAAGCCCCATTAACGGCGAGGAACACAACTACGGTGGGTCACCAATATACGAGGGTCATTCAATAAATAAGGTGAATTTTTCGGTATAAGGACTGCTAATACAGAGAGAAGCTTACTTTTTGTTTATTTTTGTCGTTTTGCTTCTTTTTCACATGGATGTAATTTCTTTTGCAGACTGAAAATAATCTTTGAGAGTTGTAGCGATTAACAAAGATGGCCAACCAAGAAGCATGCTCCAGGATTGAACAACGGTCAGTTATCAAGCTTTTGGTTGCTGAAGAGTGCAAACCAGTTGAAATTCATAGGAACATGTCAACTGTGTATGGTGCCACATGTTTCAGCCGAAAAATGTCTACAAGTGGGCAAAATTGTTTAAAGAAGGACGGAGCAGTGTTGAGGATGAAGGCAGGCCTGGATGGCCTACAGAAGTGATGTGTCCTGAGGTGATCGAATCAGTGAGTGACCTCTTTCAGTCGGACAGAAGGGTGACAGTGGATGATATGGACAATTTTGTGTGCCGCCCCAACAGATAAGCTCAAAGTCTTTGTAATGACATCCACTGTCACCCTTCTATCCGACTGAAAGAGGTCATTCACTGATTCCATCACCTCAGGACACATCACTTCTGTAGGCCTCCCAGGCCTATCTTCATCCTCAACACTGCTCCGTCCTTCTTTAAACAATTTTGCCCACTTGTAGACATTTTTCGGCTGAAACATGTGGCACCATACACAGTTGACATTCTCCTATAAATTTCAACTGGTTTGCACTCTTCAGCAACCAAAAGCTTGATAACTGACCGTTGTTCAATCCTGGAGCATGCTTCTTGGTTGGCCATCTTTGTTAATCGCTACAACTCTCAAAGATTATTTTCAGTCTGCAAAAGAAATTACATCCATGTGAAAAAGAAGTAAAACGACAAAAACAAACAAAAAGTAAGCTTCTATCTGTATTAGCAGTCCTTGTACCGAAAAATTCACCTTATTTATTGAATGACCCTCGTAAATGACAGTGTGCCACCAACTGACGTAAAGTGAAGATGTGGTCAATATAGCTGCGACGTTGGCGAAACTCGGGCTGATCCTCGCGGATCTATCTTTCATGGGTGCCAGCCAGTTTAGGGAGAGTGACAGAAGCAAGTAACTTAGAGGCAGTTGAGATTAAAATAAGTACTCTATGGTTGACGCATTCTGAATATGAGTCTACCTTGAAAACTGGTACTACAACGGAGTGGCTCAAGTCTATTAGGACAGTCTCCTGCCCCATGCCTTCGCTAGCAAGTGGTACAAATGGTCAAGGAGGGTGTCCCCGGATTGAATAACTGGGGGAACCCAATTTGCTTCCATCACCGAAAGCATGGTACAATTATGAAGGTAGCTATAACTTTCGTAGCGCGTGAGTTAACTTCAGCAACCAAGCGCTTTTCATTAATGACGCAGCTATCAGGATAAGAGGATTCAACAGGTATCGTCGAAGCCCAAAGGTCTACCAAGCGGCTGATGGCTCTGCAAAAGTACTTTGGACTTTGAAGACGAAAACGCATGAGGAACATGCCACTATATAACATCTAGAGAGCAAAACGAAGTCACCCGGATGATCCAGACCAATGGGTTCCCCTCCAGTAAGCGCATCAACGACAACATCGTGAGAAGAGTCAAACCTGACGAAAGACACTATCTGGAAAGATACACGATGAATGAGCACACGGATCATGGAATGTGTCTTTAAGCTGATGAGAATGTTAGTCACGCGACAAAACAGTACCTCCTAATAGACAATTGGTTTGACAAATCCAGCAACCTAAAGGTGAATACCACATAGATTCTTAAATGATCGCTCCAGAAGTGCGAAAGGAATAATCTTCATTAATGAAACTCACAAAGTGCAATGACGTAATATAATAGGTGCTGCGCGGATTTTTCACAACAATTAGAAATAATAAGTTGGAAGGGTAAATTATCCACAATAAGGATCCGTTAGTTAAGTTGTATAGTTTGGTAAGATGTTTGACAAAAGCGGTTAACGAGCGTGATATGTAGGAGGAGATTAAAACGGGACATCAGCAGTTAATAAGAATTCAACATTAAACGCCCGCAAGCGTGCGATTTTTCACTGTTATTCACTAACATTGTAGTAACTGATGAGTGGAGCGGCTTAGATGTCGGAAGTGAAAAGTCCCGCGTCATTCGTAAACCCTAGAGATGATGTAGAACGGAACCAACGATTTCTGTGCGAAGTAGATTGTGGTAACTTATTCTCAAGTGAAAACTACGGTACCGGAAACATATCAAGAATATAGCGAGAGAAGGCAATTAAAGACGACGAGTATCGAGACGAACCAAACCAATCCCGTTTGTAGCAGATACCTCGACGGGTGTAAGTCCACCATCAAAAGAAACTGACTCATTCCGTGGAGGCGTGACTTGGCTATTTTCAAAACCTGTCACTCGTACTGTGCATTTCGCGGAGTTTGTTTGCTCCAGTAACAGGCGTTCGTTTTGTTCACGAAGTGCTGCACATTCTTTCTTTAATTTGGAGACGAGCAAAGTTTTATCGTGATCGGTATCCTAAACGTAGAAACGAAGGATGATCAACTGCCTCCGACAAACTCTGAATGTGCGCAGGGAAGCGATTTCTTTTTCCGCTTGATCTCTATATTCTCTGTATTTGTTCCTGAGCTGCAATTAAAACATGTTAGAAGTAAAGAATAAAATCGAACCTTTTTAAATTCGACACATAAACGATCGTACTTGCTTTGTAACACCTCATCACCCGTCATCTGAATACGGAAACGCGTGGTATGCGTTTCAGGCGAACTCCCAAAACAGATAGTGTGGCCACCGATACCCGTCACTCCATAAAGAATAAAAGGGGCGATGCTAAATGAAACAGAAAACAACCTGTTTATAAGTTGAGAAATAACTATCGGAGAAAACATCAGGATTCGCAGCCGGTGAACAAAGCTGTTTTCAGTAATTCGCAATCAGGCTGATACGACAATAACTAAGGAAACCAGAGCAGACACATAACCTGAAAGAGTATAAGGATGTCATATTGTTTAAAGAACTTAATCAGTATGTGAATTCAGCACAAAGCTGAAGGCAAAGAAAGGGTCAGTGTAGCTTTCTGACGAGTGAATTTCACGTTGTGATTGTAACAAGCATTTCTGGAAAATACTCGGACATAATGGAATTACTGCAATAAGTACCGAGTTTTAAGGTAACTCTGAATGTAGGCAATACGATTCAACGTCTCGGAAACGGCTTGGAGCCGACTGGGAGTACATATTTTCAGAAGGTTTCGAATGCAAAACGGTTTTTGTAGGCTTTATTGTGGCAATGTCTGGCTCTTCAAGCCAGGTGAGTCGGTACACAATTGGCTTCGTTTTCAAGGCAAAGTAGAGTGAGGATTGTGAGGAATAATGCAAAGCAGCTGATAATAGCGTTACAGGTCGATTGGTTAAATGGCCATTCTAGTGTACCATGCACCGAAACGTTCTCCACTGTTCCGCGTCACAGGTCGTTCACGTGTGAAGTATTCCTGTTCCTGCTGCTGTGGATTCACGCTCTGACATGAGTATGTCCACCGACACCCCTTCTGACTGACTGGCATAAGATAACCCGTCACGCGTTTGTAACTCCACGCCCTCTGTTCTGTTCACACTTACTAGTCTTAGTAAGCTCAACCGCCTCGGCAATTAACTGTGGGTCTGTTGCTCGTAATCCGCTCCTACTTACCTCGACAGTGTCGCAGTCGATTTCGTGTCCCGCGTCTAGCATGTGTACATCATCATCATCATCATTATACACGTTAGCTAGAGGTGGGAAACATCGCAGCTACTGTGCCGCAATACAAAAAAAGAAAAAAAGGGATAAACGCAACAGATACAAGCCAGCCGAGCTACCGGTAGTGGATAGACACAGTTCTGGTAAGCTACCAGCCAGCCATTATGCAGCAAAAAAATTTAACATGCAAAACTATACTAGACTAAAAAGTGAGATAATGGTTGGAGGGGGGGGGGCTAAGAGAGATGGGCGGGTCAGAGAAACTCACAGCACGAATGCCACTGAGGTCGGCTCCTAGCCATGCCAGCAAGTGTATCCAGTCAAACGTGTTCATCGCCTTTCGCACCCCAACCAGGGAGCCGCAAAGCTACAACCGAGGTCAGCATCGAAGTGAGGGCCTTCATTCCTCTCGACCAAGTCATCGCTCCGCCCTCTACTCTTCTTCCATCCACACCCCGGTGCGCAAATAACGCACATCGAAGGAGTCGGTGGGCTAGCATGACAAAAGGTGGCCAAGCCATCGGAGCCTGATGGGTGGAATAACAATGCTGAACGGCTCGTTCCGTTTTCCTATGCCCTAAACAAGGCGTCGAACACCCACGTTGCTCACGCTATGTTCCCACCAGATGTGAGCCAAACAGAGAAGGCACCGATAGTCGAACATAACTAGCCTCTTTATGTCCGCTGAGTTAAGAAGCCAGATTTCACAACCGTACAGTAGGGTCGAACGTACCGCTGCATTGTATGCTCTACCCTTCAGGGCCAGAGTGATGTTGGGCCGGCGCCATAAGTGGTGAAGGTTGGCAAAAGCCCCTCGAGCTTTTGCTATAAGGTCCAAGATCTCATCTTCAATTCACGGGCGCTGATACAACTTCCCAGGTAGTTGAATTTCTGATCGACTTCTAGCTGATCCTCACCAAGGGTCAGCGCAGGAGGCGATCCCTATCAATCTTGGAGGAAAGCTTTGCACTTTGATGGTGCAAAGCAAAGCCCGAAGTGACTGATAGCCAGTGCCAATCTGTCCAGCGCGGCTTGGCACGTTTGTGAACTGTCACAGATGAGGGCAATGTCGTCTGCATACTCCAAGTCAAGAAGTCATTCTCATGGGAGCAGATTCACACCTTCTAAGTTGTGTATTGTGAATGCGATTTCCATGACCTCGTCAATAGCGAAGTTGAAGAGGAAAGGTAACAACGGACATCCTTGTCTCACACCGAATGGAATGTACCTTTGATATCGAGGATCAGGAAAACGGTGGGTCGCCAATATATGTGACGATGCTCGGACAACTGATGCAAAGTCAAGATGTGGTCAATGCAGCCAAGAATTCGACGAAACCCGGCTTTCATGAGTGCCAGTCAGTCGCGGAAGGATGAGAGAGGAAAGCACTTTGAAGGCGTTGGAGATCAGACTGATTCCTCTATGGTTACCGCATTCCCTATGACGGAGCGGCTAAGGTCGGTTGGGACAGTCCTGCTCTCACAGTTTCACTATACCATTTCCCGGACAAGTTGTCCTCTTGGGTAACAGAAATAATCTGAGGGGGCATTCAACATGAGTCTACTCAATTAATTTGTTCCGTGCGTACGCCAGTCACTTGTGCAGGTGTGTAAGTGTGCGTGTATAGCCCGTCGCCTTCAGCCAATTGGACCTCAGACGTACTAAGTCATAGGAATGCAGGTGGGACGCTTCAGCTCCCACGCACGGAACAACTTAATTGAGTAGACTCATGTTGAATGCCCCTTCAGATTATTTCTGTTGTCCAAGAGGACAGCTTGGCCGAGAAATGGTGTAGTAACTCGTGGAAATCATCCACAAGAGCAGGCCCCCCGAATGTGACGTGGGTTGGAGGAAGATCATCTGGTCCCGCGGCTTTATTAAACTTCTACAGTCCGATCTCACGTTCGACTTCTGAGTGAAAGGGCGGATCCAAAGGGACAGCCCACGGCGCAGAGTGATCAGTGACCGGCGAGAAATCTGACCGATTAAATTGCCTTTCAAAGTGCTCACCCTAATGCTCCAAACGTTTTGATAAATTGTGGATAGGCTGTCCACAACCATTACAAATTGTTTGACTAACACCAGGTGTTCTGCTGCCCATTTACCGCATCAAATGGAATAACTTCCGATGGTTACGAAGGGCAGAGGCCATTTCCATCTCTGATGCACAATGAGACCACTAGGATTCGCGATCTCTCTTCAGGCTAGCGCGGAGTTTTGCCCGGAGGTTTCTGCGAGTCGCATTATGTTTGCTTCCAGCTGGAATGTGCCGGAGAGCTTCGATAAGTTCCAGAGACTGCGAAGGGACCCAATATCCATGTTGGCGATCAGATTTACCACGTTAGGATTAGCTTGCTGCTAGTGAGGTCTGGCGAACATGGAACCAGTGAGCTTCAATTACAACCAGCGAACGTTTACTCAACTCGGATGTCAGCGTACTTTGATAGGTTTTCAGAACAGCTGGCTTCGTCAGTTGGCTAGTGTCAATGCGCTCACAGTGTCGTCATGGGTGTCCGCCAAAACGCATCCGCAGGTCAGCACAAACAAGTGGTCGGTGTTCACACATGTGCTCCAAATCGAGCGACAGTTCTGGACGCAGCTTCTTCAGCAGTAACTTACCGCAACGTGATCGATTTGCGCCCATAACTGGTTCGAGGCTGGTGGGTGTCAAGTCACCCTTCGGCGGGTGCTGTCGGAAATTGGTGTTCGCAAGAAATAAGCAAGCATCTTCACACAAAGGAAGTAACCATACACCATTATCATTACGGGAGCGTACACCGTGTTGGCCGCCTAGAGGCAGTTCATCAGTGGATAATTTTCCAACTTGAGCGTTCAGATCCCTAGCCAGCACTACCGTGTCTGTGCTTCTTCTGTGGCGAAGTTGGTTCACTTGGCGATATAAGTCGTCTTTTATCGAACCAACGCTAGAGTTTGTAGACGCATAGGCAGGGATGACGAATATACACCTGTTAGTCCCGCGCGACTTGAAGCTTCGGACGAGCCAGCCAATCGGACCGCACAAATCTGACATACATGTTTCTCGGATTAGTAAACTCAAACTTATCTGATGGGTTTTCGCTGCCGCAGTGAAGAATCTGTATTTCAAGTTAAAATAGACTATATGTACCCGAGTAAACCCAACATTAGGAATAAAAGCAGTACGAATCATACGTTAAGCGAATTGTGGCGCGGCAAGTAGTACGAATAGCCTCAACGCAGAAGCAGGTCATTGAAAGTAAAACTCAGAACTTATTTCCATATGACCCTGAGAGATACGTTCACAACTCGTCGTGACAACGACGTAGTGTTATTCGAGGCTGTTTCATTCAGCCCGAAATTAGGTTTCCCATTAAATCACATTCAGTTTCAGACTGTCTATCCTAAATTAACTACGCTTACACAGTCATCGGCGTTAGTAGCCGAGCAGGACCCTGTCAGCACCATCGGTCACTCGGGCGCCCGATTCAGGACACTCATCGGGCGTTCGTAAAACATGGTATATAAAATCTGCTTATAGCCACATCAACTGTTCAACTGCAACTGAAAACAGTGATAGTCCTCCGATTAACTTCTTGGAATAAGCAAACTGCTCATTAAATGACAGCAGAGATGTTCACTTCGTGAATTCGGTATTCACACTCATATTACGCATAACTGATTATACATGTACGCTGCTCATTTTGGTTAAGCGACACCTATAGGTATCGCCCATAAAATTAAAATAAGTGTACATGATTGCACTCCCAGTATCTGGAACGTCGCGCCACCAGCAGATTCTTCCCACGCAATGTTATCGGTGAGCGATTAATGCCCGCTTAACGAAAGGTACAGATGCCATACAGAGAAAATCAGCCCTGGATTCAACGGAGGCGCTACCAAGTCATGACTGATCGTAGGTTCCGACGTTAGTTTCAACAAGTAACAGAGGGATTGCATGGATATCTGACAAAGGCGGACTGTCGTGCTGGTAGGAATATGAGCAATGAGGACCCAGCACCGTAGTTCCGTAGTCTAGTTGTGGGGCGCGCGTCTCGTAGTGTGGGTGGTCGGGGTTCGAATCTTAGCAGGGGCGGGGGTGGATTAACAGGTATCACT